ATATCGGTTTTGTCTGTCATATTCAACCAAAGCTGGTATTTGGAGTTGTTCTTATCAGATTATGGTATATTTACATAACGTGGTTTGCATCATGATAAGAATACAATTTAGTCTATGAGGCTCAATGGTTGCACAAGCAACTCTCGTACGTCAACCTGAGAAAGAATGTACTAGCTTTTTATTTTTACTGGGGTGATCCTAACTTTCAGGTTATAGTCAAATCAAATGTAAAGAGATGGAACACTCCCTTCCAACCTAAATTGATGTTGGATTTTGTCAACTGGCCTTAACCAGATGTTTTCCAAAACCATTTATCCTTATATTTGATTTGGAAGCAGTGGTAGAGTTAGGAATTTTCTTTTGGGGGGCCAAATTAAATAAGAAAATGTGATAGGGAATAGAAGTGGGTTTAGGGGAAAATGGCCTGAAAACTAGAGACTATTACAGATTTATTTAACGAAAAAAAATATATATATATTTTTTTTTATTTTGAGAGTTGGAGGAGTTAAGAGTGATCTTTTACATTTAGTTCAAGTTTTGGGGGGCCAAGACCCACTTTATTACGATTTTGACCCAGTCTCAACTAAATAACCATATGAATAATGGTTTTAACAAAAAAGTTTGGGGGGGCCAAGGACCTCCACCAAGACACCCCCTGTTTGGAAAGGGTACAAATACAAATATGTAGATTGCAATATCTTGTATTTTGTATGTATTTATATTGTACACATTTATATTTGTACTCCTTCCAAAGTGAGGCATAAGGCTTTGTTTGGTTGCAATTCAAATAAATTTGTAATGATGCAAAATCATGACAGTGCAAATAATTTGAGTGTAAATTCTGATATTTTTTTCTGTTTTAAATTTTAGCTTATTTTGTTTGATTGCAATACAAATGAAGTAAATTGAGACATGAAGCAGAATAAAGTAACCCCCCCCCAAATAAGATTAAACGAGAATTTACATTTTTTTTTTCATTTGCACTCCTATGCATTTGTACTAGTGCAAATAAAATTGTACTGCAACCTAAAGGCTCAATTTGGAAGGAGTACAAATGCAAATATGTAGAGTGCAAAACATAATATTTTGTATGTATTCGTACTGTACATATTTGTATTTGTACTCTTTCCAAAATAAGTCTTAAGAAAGAAGAAGATACAATTCTGAACATAATTATTATATCAATTGATAAAAGGTGCCAACTGGCCCACATGGTACAACCGTACAATAAATTATTATTATTATTATTATTATTATTATTATTATTATTATTATTATTATTATTATTATTATTATTATTATTATTATTATTATTATTATTNATTATTATTATTATTATTATTATTATTATTATTATTATTATTATTATTATTATTATTATTATTATTATTATTATTATTATTATTATTATTATCACGAAGAATGTACATGGATTTGATCCAGCAACATCACAATTTGATCCATAATCCAATCTGATTTGAAGATATTGGATCAAATTTAAATCCTTTCGGACTTTGATTGTAATTGGTTTAATCCAATTCTTCCTTCACCTTCAAAAATAAAGAAAAAAAAAGGTTAATTAACTTTTGATTTTGATATAATAAATTAACAAAAATACTAAGTATTGAAAAATCCAATTGTTCCTTCACCTTCAAAAATAAAGAAAAAAAAAGTTAATTAACTTTTGATTTATATATAATAAATTAACAAAAATACTAAGTATTGAATTTATTATCTTATATAAATTCATATGTAGTTTAATATACAAGATTATATTTTTATATTTTATATATAATTATATAAATTTTATATATTAAAATCAATATATATATATATATATAATCGAACCAAATGAAGTTATATCAACACCCAACCTGCGTATTAATCATATGTAAATTGTAAAATCCAAATCAGATTTGATTACATAAATAAATCATCCAAATCGGTATAATCAAAGTTATAAATGATAAAGTAAGAAACAAAAGATTAAGATGGTTTAGTCATAAATTACCACATATACTGCTTGTAAGAATTAAGTAAACTATTACAAATTGAAGGGACTAAAAAGGGTTACAATAGATGGAAAAGGATATGGACTTAAATAATAAAAAATGATTTAAGTATTGTTTAACGATGGACATGACACTAAATAGAATGAATGGTGAAATAGGATTGGTGCAGCCAATCCTATATAATTGATACAAAGCTTAAATGATGATGATGATTTATTATATACGCCTTAATCAAATATAACACTACCAAGATTTACCAGGTGAGGTGAGTTAGGTTATCTTAGGCTATGTTTGATTTAAATTTTGTTAAAAAAACTCCTCTTCTCTTATATAGCAAAACAAACGTCCAAATTAATGGGAAATATGAAAAGGAACAAGAAAACGCACACTGTTGGATACTTGGTTCGACACTTGGACCGTTGGGGGACCAGAGACCAGACTATATAGTTACGGGGACATTAAGTGGGTCCCTAATTTAGACGATCAGCGTAGACGACAAAAGCATAATTTCAGAAATAGAATATTCGGCGGAGGCGATCACGCCGAATAAATCGTGTTATCGCTAACGTGTCCATCACCCGTTGGTTACTTGGCCCAAAAAATTGAAAAACTTAAATAATTTGAAATGCTTCATTTTTCTAGCAAATTATTGGCGAACACGGTAGGGCTCCCACCGTTGATACAGCGCTACTGCTCGCACATGATCATTACCCCGTTGATATTCGTCCATTCAGTGTGGTAGTGGGTCCCCCCCGGAGCTTAAAGATGGTAACGTGACGGAAAGACATAAGTCTTGAGGTTTGCGGATTATGGATGCCAGTGCAGTTAGTCATTATTTTCGGGCTTATAAGTTATAACGACTTTGGTTAGTCTACGTGGCAGGTCGTCTGTTTCTTGGACGACAAGAAGAAAATGAACGAGAGAGAGAGAGAACCGGCCGTTTCAACGGTTGCGGCTGTCAGTGCTTCGGTCGAGGGAGCCTAACTATATTTTATTATTTTAATGTGACACGTGGAATCCTAATAACACCGTCCCCCACTTTGGACCACTTTCGACACTTCTATGAAAAGGCACGCGGACAACATAGATTCCGCCGCCATCACGGTTTCTCTTCTACCATCACGTTTTCTATTCTCCTTCAACGTCCACTTCTTTCATTCTTCTTCTCGAGGATCGTTGGACCATGGATGGCTTAGAATTTGCTCACATCCGTTTGATTGGAATCTACGTGTAATAACATACAATAGCAATTTTTGGGGTTTAATATCAATAAAAGTAATATATTTAAAAAAATTTCAAAATTCACTTGTTCATCTTTTTCTTGTTCACCAGAGCCACCGTCCGCCGCTGCCCGCCGCCACCTCCGCCAGAGCCACCGTCCACCGCCACCTCCGGCAACGTTGTCGGAGGTGGCAGTGGCGATGCTAGTGGTCATTCCTCTGCCCGCCGCCCCGCCACCGCCACCTCTGTCTTCACCCATCTCCGGCAACGTTGCTGGAGGCAAAGGCGGAGGTAGGCAAAGGTGGCGGCGTTGGAGAGAGAAACCACCAGCGTAGCCGCCGCCGCCGCCGCCACCTCTGGCAATGTTGCCGGAGGCGGAGGCGAAGGTGGGCAGCAATGGGCGGTGGTGGCGGGCAGCGGCAGACGGTGAACAAATGGCAAGAAGAAGATGATGAACATTATTTTTACCCTTTATTGATATTATTTCTAAAAAGTTAACCTATTTTTTAAATTTTTTAAAATATATTACTTTTATTGATATTAAACCCTAAAAATTGCCCTTATATGTTAGAACTCCCTCTCTCATTGCTGGGCGGAGACGTTCAATTACTTTGAGGAGTAGCGTTGAAACTTGAAAATATATACACCCAATAAAATTAAATAAATTGATGAACATGCAAAATGTGAATGAGAAGAAAGCCAAGTGCAAATCAAACAACATGGCAACAACATAGGTTGTGGTTTAATTTGGTAATATTGCCGTTTCAACCTGAAACGTTTTGGAATGATGTATAAAAATCGATGAAAATTTCTTCAAGTGTATGTATTGTCAGATCAGATTTGAGTCGTTCCAGTCAGAATACTTGTGTGTAGGAGAATCATTGACGTTTATAACTGAAATTAACAGCGTAGGTAAAAATTAAGAATAATTTTTATTTATCAACCCAAAACATTTTATTCATAAAAAGTTTTTCTATGACATGAGCTGGAGATAAAATTAATCATGCACACCAAGCTAGATTATCTAGCCCAGCCCAGTGTGCATGATTTTATTTCCAATCAATCGGGATTGTATAAGAGAAATATGGAAAGGGGAGAAAAGAAAAGAAAAGCACAACATTGACAACCATCCCCAAAATAGAAATGAAGTATCCAAAATGCCCTCAGGTGGATGTAACAAAAAACAAAAAAGAGAGGAAGAAATCTTCTCCCAATATTCTATTTCAAAATCCCAATTCTAAGTGATACATTTAGTACACAAATTATCAGTGATAAATAGGTGTATATTGGACTCAGTTTGAAAGTACAAATATAAATATATACAGTGCAAAGTATATTTTTGTATTTATATTATCTCCAAACTGAGCCTTGATGTACTTAATGTGGAGGAAGCACAAAGGGGTCCCAGCCCATTGGTTCCAAACTTTGCGATTATAATTATAATACACACAGAAACCAAACAAAATAATTTGCTTCCGATTCCATATAAAAAAAAAACAGTAGATTATCAACACATACCAGCTGGGTATAAGGTGATCTTACAATTCCACGCAAGTGATGGTAGAGATGCAACCAGATAAGATCAAGTTAATTAAAACACTCATCACTGACTAGACCACTGGGCAACCAACGAGTCATTTTAATCTGGTTCAGGCCTTTTATTGTTTCAAAAATTCCATGACTCGGAAAGACAATTACCAACTATGTTAATTATATGGTTAAAATAATCAAAAGATGCATGTAAGATGGTGGAGCCAATTATTCACAACTTTGAAAATATTATTAAATTTGGACATGCCTTCTAAAATGCAATCAGTACAAAAGTTAATTGAAAAAAGAATGAGATTTAAAAACCTCAAAATACATCGATCTTCACACGAAAAAAAGGAAATAAAGAAAGAAAGAAGAAAAATAGAATTATTAGAATTCACAATTGGGTTTGTCTTCTTCCCAAATCCCCGTCGTATCCTAATCATTTCATTCATTTCTTCTCTCTATGTTTGTCTTGTCTTCGTACCCCCCGCCCCCCCTTCCTTTTCTCTACAAGGTTTCCTCCGACAATTGAAATTTCTGAACAGCATAGAGGAGCTATTGTTGTAAAAGCCAAATGTCCTCAACGTTCCACAAATTGTCCGATACGTCACCATCGCCCAACCACATGTTGTTCTGCTCAATTGCTTCGAAATCTAACCCTTGGTTAAAGTAACCAGTGGGGCTAGTTAGGGATTCTTGGTAATTAACCTGGGAGGCGTGGAAATTATCGGCGTAATTATTGGGCTGAAAATTGTAGTAATCGGTCAGGTCTGAGACCGGGGATACTTGGGTTCCTACGGATAATTCTGATGAACCGGCGGTGCTAGAATTCTCTGGGGTGAAACTGGCGTTAATCTGCGAAACCCCGTACTCGTTGTTGCTGCCTGCAGACGACAGGACCTGACCCGTGATGACGTCTGAATTGTTATTGTAAATTTGGTGATGGGTGGTGGTGGGGGAGGTGGTCGTCGTATTGGCGCCTGAAGAAGCTGCCGCAGCTGCCCGGATTCTCTCGACCAACCTGGGCATCCAAAGATAGCGCATGGTGTCTTTGAATTGTTTGCTGTTCACGTCGCATTGGAGTTGCTTCGCGTGCTTCTGAACTCTTGTTCTCCAGTAGTTTTTAATCTCGTTATCTGTTCTTCCTGGCAAGTGTTGAGCAATTTTCGACCACCTGGAGCAATTCCCAGAAACAAAAACAAGATCAGATTATACTGGAGGAGGGGAGAGAGAAAGAGTAGATAATATGATGAGGATAGGAGATTCTGTGGCTCATACCGATTCCCCCAACGAGAATGGAGTTCGAGAATTAAAAGTTGTTCCTCGAGGGTGATATTTCCACGTCGAACGTCGGGGCGTAAGTAGTTCAACCACCTTAGTCTGCAGCTTTTTCCGGTTCTCTTGAGACCTGTTTAGAAGAATTAGGTTTAGATTCGAATTCAAGGGAGATAAGAGATCTCAACAAGAAAAACAAAGAAAAGAAAAGAACCAGCGTTTGCAATTTTGGTAAAGTTTTCAGAGAATCCCATTTGTTTACTGTTTATTCTTCCTTCTGTATAGTTTAATATCCTGTAGATTTTGAATGGATATTCCCTTACTGCATTTATTTCTTTTTTTATTCTTTTTTAAGTTCTAGCCAAACATGGCTCTTCTAGCTCAAATCCTATCATCTCTTCAAGGACACCCACCTCGTAAGTGTCATTAAACCCCTGGGGATTCCATCTTTTTCAAGCTTTTTGTTGTATTTGCTACTATCTTTTTTTTTAAAGAGCTTTTTTTTTCTCATCAATATCCAGGAAAAGAGAAAGGATAAGCTAGAAATGTTTAATCATTTCTATCTTGCCTGTTTTTATTTATTTATTTATTTTGCTCATGGATTTTGGATCTAGCTAGAAACTCTTGGCTTTCAAACCAGTCCCAGGCTTCAACACACCCTGTTTTAAACCAGAGACAAATTAAAAAGGAAAAGAAAGAAACCGTAAACAGTGAGTTTGATTGATTGTAATACCTGCGCATCGAGCGAGGGAGTTCCAGCGACCTTCGCCATGGTTAGCAATGTAATTAATGAGTATGAGATCCTCTTCAACTGTCCATGGACCCCTCCTCAGGTCTATCTCTTCTTCACTTTGAGTTTCGGAGCTACAACTTCTCCCATTAGCATCCATTCCCGAAAATGGAAGAGTTTGATCAACAGAGAAAAAGAACAAGTAGTAGCTTGTTTGATTGAGAGTTGAGAGGGATAAAGAGAGAGAGAGAGAGAGAGAGAGAGAGAGAGAGAGAGAGAGAGAGAGAGAGGAAGAGAGTAGGGAGAGACAGAGCGGTGAATTGGATTTGGATTAATTAGGAGGATAGAGAAGTGGGGCTTTTATAGAAGGTAGAAGATAGATGGGATTGAAAATAATAAATAGATGGCATGTGAGAGAACACGCCACTTGAGGGTTTAGATTAGCTATTTATAAATCACTAAAACTTGTTTTAACTATTCACTAATGAGTTGGAGGGTTTGAACTTTGACGCTTTGACTTTCCGCGTCTCTACCGCTCTTCTTCGTAACAAGTTTTTCTGGGAACCGGAACCGGTTTTATCACATTTTCCATTTTTTCTTTCTCTCTTTGTAGTTTGTATTTTGCAGTGCACTTGTGGTCCCCGTCCATCTGAGCCGCATGAAATTGGTCCGGCTGCGATTTTCTGGGTGTGCCACATGTTTTGATCGACAGCTTCATCTGGCCAAGAAAATGGGAGAACAAAGGTGCTGTGCATACGTGGCAAAACAAAGGAGTCCGCCAGTGGATTCTTAACTTTACAGCGAATAGATTTCAAAGACCCGCCTAGGAAAGGTTTGGCCTTTGTGGTTTGGGAATTACAAAATGGGACACGGGACATGGGAATATATAAGATGAGCTGCGCTCCACCATCAATATTCATGGTTTGGTACATACTAATAACTCGTCAATTCTCAATTCTTTTTTTTTTATCAATTCTCATTTCAGGACCAGTCTTGTGTCTCTTAATTACATAGGAAAGGAAAACGCTTTGGTCCCAATTTCTGGGCCTCACAGGTCAACATATTCGACCCTGAATTTCCAATAGGCTCTTTTTTTGGGATGTCAGGGTGGTAGGGTTGGAGTTACCATGTTAGGACCGTTTTCTAGGCACGACATATCGACCCAATGAGTGTAATTACATTTTTACCCCACACATGTCGTAGTTACCATGTCCTAAATTCGGATTCCCAGTCGCACAGACCCGATTATTAATCAATCGAATTGATTATAATGGTTCTGGTTTCATAATTTTGTCTTAATTAATAATTGAGTTAGTTCTTTTTTATTACTTTTGTTGTATTTTATATCTGAAATAATAAATTTTATAGATAATATTAGTTTAAAATTTCTAATTTATTATATAAATAATTTAGTATTTTTTTTCTCTTTTATTAACAATTTTTTATCAAAATTTAAGTTTTATATAATTATTTAAATAAACAAATATAATTTTCAGTATAATGAGTCTATTGGCCCGATAGACCTGACTATTAACTGGGATAATTTTGAGTATATGATTTTGTCTCGATTAATAACCAATTCAAAACTGGATCTACCTAAACCCAACCCAAACCCGTCCCGTATAGTTTCCAATAGTGAAGTGAGTGTAAAGACCATCCTATGAGCAGTAAATCGGGATTTGGCTGTTGGTCCGGAAAAAAGTTTTTCAGGAATGTTGGGTTTTTGGTTTGTTAGTAATCTAATAATTTTGTATTAAGTTGGGCTGTTTAAAAAAAGGGTGTCTAAGGGCAATTTTTTGCCTCTGAATATCAATAAAAAGTAATATTTTTATAAAATAATCAAAATAGAATAATTTTTTTTTAAATTATCAAAAAAAGGGTAATGATATTATTCATTGTCTTCCTCTGCCTCTTATTCATCGGAATATATTGTTCATGCGAGAAGCGGAGCAGGGCACAGGCACGTTCTTCTTCGCGGTTACTACTCCGGAATCGCGGTGACACCGTTCTCTTGAAGCTGAGCATCACATCAGGTTTGAGGTTATCTCTCTCTTTTCATTTCTCCCTGGATTCGATGTTATTGAAGAGGGGAAGACTGAAGAGGAAAAATAGATTTTACAGCACGCATAATGTAAAGAATGCAAGTTGGTTTCCAAATCCATTAAGGTTCGAGTTTTCCAATTTCTGAATCAGGAAGCTTCAGCACGCAATGCCACGAGAGACGGAGACCCGCTCGAGATGACCTCAAACCCAATGTGGGACTTTTGAAAACTCGAAGCTACCTGGATCTTTATGAAATTTTTGAAGCTTCATAAGAGGCCTGAAACTTTTGAAGCTTCGGTGATATTTTTCAAAATAATCACAAAGACAAAGGAAGAGGAAGACAATAAATAGTGTCATTGCCCTTCCTTACTTTACTTTGATTATTTTATAAAAATATTATCTTTTATTAATATTCAGAACAAAAAAATGCCCTTTTCTTCTAAAAACCCTTAAAAAAAAAAAGCCTCCACTAGTTTCAAACTTTGCATACGTAGTACTTTATTTCATCTAGTTTTTTATTTGTTTTTAAATTAAAAAAATGTTGGTCATAAATACTCTTATACCCTTATCCATAAACGTGTCATACACATGAAGGCTCAAAAACAGCGCAGGCTGCTTTTTCAAAATAGCCAAACTTAATCCGTCTTCCATGAGTACATGCGAGACATTGCCGACAGGAATTCCGAAGTGCGATCGTTGTACGGACCAATTACCGGCTATCGCCGGGAAGAGGTTGTAGACCTGCAGTTAATAAGATTGCGTCACACAAGTATCGGCGATTACGCGGGATTTCAGAAACACCTTTTTATGTTTTATATACAAAAGACTCCGGTCAATCAAGTCAGTCAGTCATGGTGGCGTCGTCCTTGCGGGTACCACGCTGCCTGGTCCTCCTTGAGTTAAAAAACGTTGGATTGGAACTTCTAAAAGATCGAGCATCCATATATATTCCATAGTAAGTACTAAAAGACGACTGATTTGTATTTGTACTCGTTCCAAATTATGTATTTTATATTAATTTGTATGCATTTTCATTGTATGTATTTATATTGTATATATTTGTATTCGTTTCAAATTGAATCTAACGAGTTTTATAGATTTTTTTTTTATTTTATAAATTTTAATTTGTATTATTGGAACAGTAACAACCAACAAGTAGGGGATTAGAATTCCCATTTGCTCCTCACAAAGTTCATCTCATACTAATCTCATGCTGCATCACAGCCATGCATTAAGAGCATTTTCCACATTTAATGTTATCGTTTGGGAGAAGATGTTCTCAATGCACAACTGTGATATGGTGTGGAAACAGTGTGAGATATATTCTGAGGAATAAATCCGAATTCAGGAGAAGTCAAAAAAAAAAAATCCTGAAATGGAGAAAACCATAAATTTCCTAAATTAAAGTATTAAATACCATGACTTCTCTGCACAAATCAACAGTTAAATACAATGGCAAATCCAAACATAAAAGAAAGATGGTGTTTGGTATTAATGCCATCCTTCCATTCCAGGGCATTTCCTCCATATGAGCACTATGTAGTATGTACACGTTAATTTTCTCATGTACTGTCCGGTTGAATGGCTTTCATGAGTGTGTCCCAACCACCACAACCAACATTCTCACCTCGATTGTGCAAAACCAGTATTTTAAGAGAACATCAAAATGAAGCTTCTCGTTTTTACCTATGTGGTGCTTAATGGTGCCTCGCTGGTATCGTATAATATAATATTAAAAAAATGCACATAACCAAAAATAATTTATCATTTTCCAATTGGCGTATCTGTTGCGTGAATAAACGGCAATGGTACCAAACAAATTTAAGATTGACCAAAATAGATTTTAGAACTTAGAAGCCCCATTTAATGCAAGTAAATATCTAACCACTACATGGTTAAATGGCGACTGGTTTAATTAGTTATGATAATGATAATGGCAAATGATGGATTGCCAACTGGCTAGCGAAGTTGGTAAAAAGACTGAAAAACTCAAAGCGATTGAGCTCAGATCGTTTTCAATCTCCTCCTATCATACCCTCCCTCCCCCCTACATTTCATAGGTTTGATGCTGCAATAGTGTTGCTCTGGTTGGATTGTCTTCCAGTTCATTGCTCCTTCTCAGGAATCCATCCAACCCTCACGTCGCAATCCAAGCCATTGCTACCATCTTGCCTGGCATAACTAGATATATTAATAAAATAAATCCACCAAAATGGCATTCATAACTAATTAAACAAGTATTAGTGGCCCCTCTTTTCCATTACGTCTCTTCTTATTAACATTTTAATATTAATTAAGTGTAATAATATTTATCATGTTTCAATCATGCTAGATATTAAAATAACAAATATTTTAATCTTTAATCAGGAAAAAAAAAACATGAAAAAGGATTGAATGGCCATCATAATCATTAAAACAATAAATTATCGTCCAAGTTTTTCCACAATTACGTTAATGTTTTTTTGTTCTCAAACCTTAATGAAACAATTAAACTCTAATACGGTCAGGCATGTTTTCCACACAACCCATCAGTGATGGGGTTACAATGGTCCTGACCCTATTGACTCCTTGGATATATGTTCATTTGTAACTATTGGAATGCGTCATGGATAGGAACACATCAGACTAGTTAGATCTTAACTATGTGATTGTCAAACACAAGCAGAGGGGGAGGTGGGGTGTTGGTCGAATCTGGATTTCATAACAACATCTTCTTATGAATGAAAACATTTTTAAGTATGGAGATGTTCCTAGTGCACGGCTGTAACAAAATCCCATCTCATATTGATCACTAGTCGGGGAATGTAAATTTAATATGGGGATAATATTAAAATCAACAGTTTCAGCTTTCATGTATTTAACAACTTCAATTACGTACCTAACCGCAGACCCGAAGTGACCAACTCCCTTGATTAATACGTGTGACTAATTACTCAAAACTTATGCCCACAAATTTTGCAAAATGACTTAAATTTCAGTGATAATTAAAACTCTAACTTAATTAATAAACAATGCATTTTGTCTGTTTACTATTGCAGAATGCATGATATCACGCTCTACTTCAACACAGCATATGTTTGGCTTTTACAAATTAATGCATGCAGGAAAACTCCATACCATCCTATACATCCATGGTTTTATTTTTTAATCTTCAGTTTCAAGTATAGCCACCAAAATAAAATATGAATATAATTTATAAGAA